GAAAGAAAGAAAGAAAGAAAGAAAGAAAGAAAGAAAGAAAGAAAGAATCAATCACTCAGGGCAGGAAGGATATTTTGCAAATCATGGTTTGTCAGCCAAAGCCGGTTTGCCTGAGCACAGACCACTCTTCTACCCCCCCCCCCCCCGGTCTCCTCGCAGGGAAGAAGAGGGAATTCCGCTTCCACCCCATCAAAGAGGCGGTGGTGGACATCACCCCCTTCCTGGAGCAGCTGGACGAGTCCCTCAAAGACAAAATCCTGCTCTTGCAGAAGGGGAGGTGCGTATCCCTTCCACCCCCTCCCCCTCCATTCCTCTGAAACGGCCCAGGGCCTCCTGTTTGAGCAGGGTGGGGGGGCTTGGCTAGAAGACCTCCGAGGTCCCTTCCCGCTCTCCTTCGTTCTTCGGTTCCTCCTTCGTTCTTCTCTTGACCAAAGCTTTTAGCCTTTGTGCTTGCAACCACTCGCACGAGGCCTCCTGGGAGATATTCCGCGGGTTGTGTGGGTGTTGCAAAACATTTTGCAACAGGGGGGAAAACAAGGGGGGGGGGCAGATAACCACACTCCACAACAGAGCTCCGAGCCAAGTCAGCATAAAGGGGGGAGTTGTTATTCCAGAAACACACAACTTGTGTCCTTTTTAACAACTGGATTTATAGCCCAGCCAGCAGTGGGCCAAGGTTAAGATTCCTTTTACACACCCTTTTGGTGGTGGTGAGGGGGGGAATTTTGCCTCCCTGGAAGGGCTGTAATGGGGGCGTCGTAAGGGGTCTGTGGTGTCCCGTCCCCCCCCCACACCAGATGCTGTCCTCTGGTGTCTTCCTACACACAATTCTTTGCAAACGTCAATATTTTTTTCCCTCTCTCTTTCTCTGGAATTCAGCCGTGCACAACTGGAGTTTTGCAACTCTCCCTGTTTTTGGAGAGGGGGTGGGTGGGGGTGGGGGCCTTTTGACCCAGCGCCTCCATTAATTCAGCCTGTCATGACTAAGGGCAGTTTAATTTAATTGACTTTTTTGTTGTTGTTTTTTGGCAAAGGCTCTGCAGGGCGAGAGTTTGGGGAAGGGAGGAGGGAGGGAAAGCTTGATTCAACCAGGATTCCTGCGTGGAAATCAGGATTTCTGCCGTGGAAATCAGGATTTCTGCCGTGGAAACCAGGATTCCTGCAGTGAAATCAGGATTCCTGCAGTGAAATTAGGATTCCTGCCATGGAAACCAGCATTCCTGCCATGGAAACCAGGATTTGTGCCATGTAAACCAGGATTCCTGCCGTGGAAACCAGGATTCCTGCAGTGAAATCAGGATTCCTGCTGTGGAAACCAGGATTTCTGCCGTGGAAACCTTGATTTCTGCCGTGGAAATCAGGATTCCTGCAGTGAAACCAGGATTTCTGCCGTGGAAACCNTCGCGCAGACTGATTATAAATTGCGGCACAATTCAGTAGCACAAATGATCCATTGGAATTTGTGCAAAAATTATAATATTAAAACAGCAACAAACGGACCAGAAAGGAGCCAGAACAAGGACTCACACAGAGGATCAACAGGGAGCCTCCCCTGCATTGGGGAAACAGTTGGAAATCCTTCCTCCTTTTCTTCTCTTCCAGTCTAACGTGGCCGCTTCCAACGCCAAGCTCGCCCTGTTTTACGACTGGCTGTTCTTCAACCCCGATAAGGACAGCATCATGAATATCGGTATGGGGGGGCATCTTTTCTCCCTCCCCCCTAGTACTTGGGGGGGTGGGGTCTCTCCTCCGAAATTGGGGGATCGTCCGAGACTTTAGACAAAGAAACGCTTGGAATGTCGGCCTTCACGTCCCTTATTCCGGTCTCTGGTTCCTCAGCATAGTTTACGAGCTAGTTCTCGACTTACGACCATCCATTTAGTGACCATTTGTGGTCGGGGAAAAAAAGCGACTTGCGACCACAGGTTTCTCACACTTAACGACTGTCGAGGTCCCCTGATCCAAATTTGGATTCTTGGCGGCTTTCTCGTATTTATGACAATTCTGGGGTGTGTGTGTGTCACACTTTGCCCCTTTTGCGACCGTTCCGGCGAGCCAGCCCGACGGAGGGAAGCCGGATCCACTTAACGGCCTGACTTAACCACCGCAGGGGTTGGCTCAACCACGGTGGCCCTGGGAATGTCATAAAACGGGACGGAGCTCCCCTGAATGTCTCGTTTAGCCGCGGGAATTTGGGGAGGGGCGGGTTGAGGGCTCCATGGAGGTCGTTAAGTGGAGAGCTAGCTGCGGTTGGGGTGGGCCTGAGGGGATTCGAACAGGCCTTATTTTTGAGGTGTCTGTGTGCTGGGGGTGTTGCTTGAATTTTCAGAGCCCGCCATCTTTGTCATGTACCATTCGATGAAACCACATCCGGCGATCACAGCTACTCTGCTGGACTTCATGTGTCGGGTAAGTCCTCCCCGTCCCCCCCTCACCCCGCAATACGGCTCCGCGCTGGGCAGCCTCTGCCCTCCCCCTTCCTCACCCATAGCCCCCCTCCCCCTTTATTCTCCTCTCCAGATCATCCCGAATTTTTATCCCGCTCTGGAGGCTCACGTCCGTCAAGGTGTCTTCAACTCCCTCACCCACATCGTCGAGAAGCGAGTCTTGGCGTAAGACCCTTGGTTTTGGGGCGCGGGGGGGGGAGGGCTTCCCATCCTCGGGGAGAGGGAAGGGCTGCAAATTCCCCCCCGCTGGCGGTGGAAAGACCCACACTCATTCCTGGAGACCCTTCTCGACCTCCCCAAATAAAGACAATCTTCCAATAATAATAATAACAACAACAGTAATAATAATTTATTATTATTATATAGAGAATAATAGAGAATATCTATAATAGATAGATATAAATAGAGACTATAAATAATAGATATATCTAATAGATAGATATAATATAGATAGATATAATATAATATATCTCCCTTTATTTATTTATCAGCACAAATAAAAAAACACAAATATAACAAAGGCAACAGTAAAAATATTGGGTTTCTGTCGTGATGGACTCTT